GGTAAGCATCAATCTATCATATCCATTTGAGTACCCCTCGGATTCGATGACACAGCACGTCAAGCCTTTGTACATCAAGGCTTTCTTTGATGGGATACAGCTGAACCGAGTCCTGATAGACAATGGGGCAGCAGTAAACCTACTCTCGAAATCTTCTTTGAAGAAACTAGGAAAAAAGAATCCCAGGTTAAGGATACAATTATATACCAGCAGTTTAAAAAGAAAGACTTTCACAGAAAATACTCTTTCGATTTAACAAAAGCAGATGACATCTTTGATTATTTGCTCGCGGCTAATTTCCTTAAGTTACCTAAAGGAGTAAAACTACCATCTCCAGATGAACTGAAAGGAAAATTATACTGTAAATGGCATAATTCTTGGTCTCACTCGACTAAAAACTGCATTGTTTTTCGAGACAGGATCCAGGAGCAGATTCGGAAAGGAAGTCTGAAATTCCCAACCAAAACAGAAAAGATCATCATTATTACTGTTATTTCTCTTAATTTCTCCTAAGTCAAGCCACCAGTAAAAGTCCTCTTCATTGAGGCTGAAAAGAACTAAAACACAATCGTCTGATAATTGGTTGGCAATCACAATTTCTGTAAGGACTGATTGATCCTTGCTGGCACGCTCACATTCACAAAAATACCCTTCGAAAAGCCAAAAAGCCAACAGTTTCACATTCTGCAAAGACTCCATATTCCAATTTGTTGGATTAATATCTTCATTTTTATCATGCTAACTTGTATAATCGGCAGTGGCGCTCTTGTATCGCATGCTTTTGAATTGGAGTCCGAAGTACAAGCACTGTTCTATGGTGCACCAGCAGTTATCACATTCAGCATCCCCACAAAGGCTGCTCTACGGGTTTGGCATTCCAGACATTTCGTTTGTATATATAGGTATACCTAGTAAGTTATCATCCTCTTATCACTCAAGCTGTTAGTTTTTTTAGAACCATTTGATGCCTCGTCATCCATAATCAAGATAAAGTTAGTTAAGCATCAAAAACTTGTAAACTCACTTTATTTTAGTAAATTAACAAATGTTGAATTCTACAGTAGGAATAACCAACATGCATAACCAAAAATTATAATTAAAATGTTGTCATGACGAAAAGTAATCCTACCGAAAGAATAAGAAGAAAATAGCATAAGTGCATAGTACGAATTTCCCTCTATTGTAATAAACTGCAAGAGAGAAAATTAGTAGTAATGAAGATGTGGAACTATTGTAAGATTTATATTTCAAATTCTACGAGTCTTTCACAATAATTTTTCTAACAACTCAGGTGAAAGTGATACATAATTTTTCGGAAAATTCTTGAATTTACGCAGGCCTTGTAGCTGAAAAAGTGTTATCTAGTCAGTCTCCCAACTTTGGTGGGAAATAAGTATGGAGGATAAACTAGAACTTCAATTATTGAATTTGTGAACTATAGCAGATTGCCCTTTAAATCTGATTGGGTAAGAGAAATTGTAGGTAAATGGGAATTAAAAAGATAAAAAATATCCCTTATTGAATAGTTCAACCATATTTTGATGCTTGTTTTATTCAACTCAGCTTAAACTCGACTTGAGAGGTCGATAATTTTATGAGACTAACCAAGAAACCAAGCTCTAATTGTTTGGTTTTTTATGGGCTTGAGAAGAATCTTGTTTGAGATCATTCATGCAATAAACTAGTAAACCTCAATCTTCATTTTATATCTCACCAAATTTTCTAATCAAGCTTGAGCAACCCATTACTTGGTTCAGCTAGTATTGTTTTCATTGAACAATTTTGAACAGTCTAAAAAAGGAAAACCCTGTGATTCTATGTCCCACTTCAATGCTAACGGATCAGGACTTGAATCATGGATTGTCTTGTAAACACTGTTGAGAATGCAGTGCTCTCATAATATTGAGAATGCAGTTCATTGTCTACTTGTTGTTTGACTCCTTGTAATCTTAAGGGGAGTTGCTTGGATATATGATGCTTATAATGCAGACTTTTGTGGTTTATGGAAGGGGATGGGTAGGTTGTACATTGTATAGCTGATGTTGTTCATCTGAGTTTGTCTAGCTTATACTAAGTTAGAAACTGATGGATAATTTGAAATTATCAATTTGTTCTTCTAAATGAATTCAGTATAAGATGACATGAATCTTCTGTTCTCCTTTTATGGCTTGTTGGCTTTGACAAAAAATATTTTTTCTTCCTTTTTATTTTTATTTTTTTGTATTGGCCTCTGTTTATTTCTTATGGGTACCATGACAATGTTCCAAACCTTTATTGTTTATCATATAATTTTTCGTTGTTATTGTCGAAGTTGCCTCACAAATGGGGAGAATAAAGGGGCATGACAGAGAGAGTTTTTGGGGTTGCTAAACTTATAATATTGTTGTCATGCTATTTGGTTGACAGTGAGTTAGTGTCCCATCAGATTTCATTAACACTAAGATGCAGAATATAAAGTTATACTGTGATTTCACAAGCTTTTTTGGATGATAATTCTATTTTTGTCCCTCTTTAACTCCTCAAGCCTCTAGGTCGTTTCATCTATAGTGGTAAGTGTTCATGCCAAGCACACACTTGTACTGCAATTATTTGCTTCCTCACTGAGATGGTTTTAGAAAAGATTTCATGTTGGATCTTAGACCAATATGGGAATTTTTCAGAAGATTTTAATGTTGGCGGGCTATTTTAGTACTTACAATTAATTGATTTCTTTTTTTAAGCAGCTATTAGGTTTGTTGTTGATTTTGGGTCAATAAGGAAGGAACTTAACGAGATTGACTTTGTGGACGTTTGATGTTTGAAGGGCACCACACTTTGCAACCCAGTATTTAGGTCAACTGGCTGTCATTGTGATTTTGTTGTGTGTTTTGCCCTTTCTTACACAACATGCTGTTAAGTTTCAAATAATTTTCATAATTCCTCAAACCTATGCCTCAGATATTATTTAAAGAAAAAGGGAGCCAGACTTTGTTGCATATTCTCAAGTTTGCCAAACTTTTACTATTTTGACTTTGTGGCCACAGAAATGTAGCACTGTAGGGAACATTTTCTTGGGCATATTTTCTATTACCGTTCTTCATTTCTATACTTCACAAAAACCTGGAGCTTACATTTAGGCTTTTTATTATAGGAAAAAATGGGCTTAGACTTGCAGAATATCTACATGTTTTTTTAGAGATATGTTCTAATAATTTAGAAGCTAATCAATTTTGGTTTTTGCCTCAAGTCTTGATTTGCTTGCTCTTAAATGTACTCTCTTCTTGCCTCACTCACTCAGCAATGTCTATCTATAATACAGAAGTTGTCTTCTAGACTTGCAGAATATCTAACTGTCTATTTATTTTCTTGAATTTTTTTATAAATATTATATATGAATTACTGTGCTTCGTTTGTGGAGTTAAAAAAAAAAAACATGATCAGCTTTATATTTGCTTTTTCAATGTTTGTGTTTTGTGGATACTCTCTCAATCAATTTCTTCATTTTTGTCATCCAGGTACTTTCTTTATATAAATCTATACCACATAGATTACATATATGAAGGTAAGTTTCTTTGCTCCTCATAAATCTGTGTCTTCATTTATTTATTCTAAGTATTTGATATAGATTCAGGTCATTCTTTTCATTTGTCTTGAGATCCTCGATTGACCTCTGATTTATGCATTAGGAAAATTGGGTCTTCATTTATTTGTTTTAAGAATTTTTATTTGATATAGATTTAGGTTGTTCTTTTCATTAGTCATGAGACCTTTGATTTGGAACTCTGATCTATGCTTAGGAAATTTGGAAATTCCTTCATTTGTTCTGAGCAACTTCTATTGGATATAATAATTATTAGGAAAAATCTACAATGTGTGTGCACCCCTAAAAAGGGTATATTGTAAGAAGATTTACAATTTTTTGTTGTGAAAATTATTAATATTTGTGGTGATTTATGCCAGTTTGTGGTGATTTAGAGTTGAAAATGTCATAAATGTAATTGGAAAAAGGCGTTCGGGGGGTGAAAATGCAAAACAGCCACAGAACCTCTGTTTTAACGTAACGGGAAGCTTCTCGGTGGGAAATGTGACATATAGGGACAGACGGTACTTAAATAGGACACCCACGTTGGGAGTTAGAGTTGAAAATGTCATTAATTTTAGTCGACAAAATGGGGTTCGGGGGGTGAAAATGTAAAGCAGTTCCCGAGATACTGTTTTTTCGTAACGGGAAGCTTCCCAGTGACAAATGTGACATGTAGGGACAGATGGTACGCAAATAGGACACCTACGTTGAGAGTTAGAGTTGAAAATGTCACAAATTTAATCGAAAAGAGGCGGTCGGGGGGGCAAAAACAACCCCCGAACCTCT